TTCGTAATGCAGCTAAATACAATTATTAGTCCTTGAAAACAGCTTTCTGTCTATTGCCAGTCACAGGCTTAAGCAATATAAGAGGTTTGGAATTCTTACTTAGATAAAACTAGGAATTACCTAACTCTCCGGGTAATGAAATACGTAATTTTTTTTTTTTATACAAACGTTGCCCCACACTACGATTTTCTCCTGTGTCGTAGGTGCGTTTACAAACATACAAGTTCACATACACAATGACACCCAGACCTGAAACAATAATTTGTGGATCACACAAAGTGTTGTCTCGTGCGGGAATCGAACCCGCGACACGTTGCACGGCAGCCAGTTGCCCAGCCGCCGCACCAACCGTGCAGTCAGATATCATAATTTCTCACCCCATATTTTATCCCCTTTCCATCAGAACCTATGTATTTGTTTCATTAATCATGAACAGCTCGCTCTATTTGTCTGTTTGTCTGCTAGCCGGTTAGTATTGAATCAAGCACTTCGCTAGCATTGATAATAATCATGAAAATCATTAATTTGTTATAATGACTGCTCTGATTTGCAAGATTAATTAATTTTGTGGCATATTCTGATTGGTTGGTTTATTGTTTTGTTTCTAGTACAGATTTGAGTGCCATTAGAATATGAGAAGAGGTCAATGATCTCTGATTTCCTACTTGTGAAAAGTGATTGTCCCAATTTCGTTAAATAGCAGAAATACCTAGTTTATATAAATGTATAGTTTAGTATTTTTTTAAAGAGTTGAAACCAATGTGTTGTACACCAACCATTTATTAAACGCCAACCCATTCAATCTGTGTTTAAATGACGTCAAAAAATAATTTTACACATTCACAAAAAAAATAACCGCGTAAAAATTCAGCGCGGCCATCTTGAAGTTACACCACAGATTATATTCTCTTTTCATACACAGACAGCCCCATTGTACACGATCAGCCACAGCTAATAAAAAACTAAAGAAACTTTTATATTTTACCGTGAAACGTTAACTAATAAAATAAGTAAAATAACAAAGGGTCCGAAAGTTTTTTAGCCGGTAATTTTGAAGTTTCACTCGTGTATTTTTTGTTTTTGTTCCAAATATACTACAGAGGTCAGAATGGCAGTAAAAAGGCGAACTGTGATTGTTATGTTTGAGTCAGGAGTGTATTTGGGGACGTTTTTGTTTTATTTATTTATTGCTGGCGACTTTATGTAAGGAGAAGAATGTGTTGAAGGAATATACACATATTATGTGTCAGGTACTTCGGTAACTAGAGAAATTTACACTTTTTAAATCTAAACTTCTAACTAAATAAATACCCGTAACTTAAAGAAAGTTGTGTAGAGTTAGTACAGTAATTAATGTACTTTATTTCTAAGATTATCTAGACACCACTGACAAATGGTGAAGGAAAATGTTAGGACACCTGGACTTATAATTTCTAATTATAAGTTTGAAATCGCCAACTCGCAATTAGTGATTAATGCTCTAAGCTCTCCAAAAAGAGTTGTTACGTCTTTTCTTACGAAAAGAGGTATTTGGTTAGTAGTGGCCACTTTTAGTTTGTTGATGATGATGATGAAGGAATAATAGTATCTAAAATTATCCCCGGGTCCAACAATAAGCGAGCTACTTCGTGCTCCGTTATAAGTAAGATTTCGTTAGTATAATGGTAACTGGATACACAGACTTATCTACCTACCTTATGGACCTGCGGACGGCGAGCGTAGGTAGCTCTCCGCCCGACTAAAATAGCAGACCCGTGCGTACGGCGCGTCGCAATCCGCACGCGTCTCAAAGAGCTATCAGACCATCCCGGATGGGACGTCATAGGACTGATGCCGATACGGAGTCATGGAGGACTTAACGGGTTGCGGAGCCTCCGACTCGATAAGCAGGAGTAGGAACGGAGTGGTTTTTAGTCAGTAAGAGTCTGACTCTCCCTCCCGGCTCACCCAGGCGGGAGTCATTCGATGATTTTCCTTAAAAAAAGCCTACCTACTTTACGTTTAGAGAATAGTATTCGTGGCGTAGTTTGTGCCAAAGTTCTCCATATTTCATAGTTGAAAATCTTAGTTCGTTCTCATTAATTTATGTTTTGTTCCTCGCTTTGTAATTGGATTTCTGTCTCGAGTACTGCCAGTACTAAACTTTGTCCAGCTTTCCAATTATTTAAAACAAAACAGAATTAAGTCTTTAAATGGTTGTTTAATATGCCTTTCCTGTTGTAGGGAAATGTTAATAGTCTTATTATAATTTAGTGTTTAGAGTAGATACCTATAATATATAATATAACATGACATAACATCACGTTTTTTAGGCAGAGGTCTGCATTACGGTACCTAATGTCTCTGTACAATGTAACACCCACTTTTCACTATTTGTGTTATGAGTCCCATGTTATAGGGGGTGAGCCTATTGCCATATGTCGCCTCTGCCGGGCACATTTCCAGACTCCGTGCTATTACTAAGATTTTTTTTAAACCCAGTAATACTTTGCCCGACCCGGGAATCGAACCCGAGACCCATTGCCCTTGTACCTTGCTTGCCTTTGAGGTAGAACTGAATATTAAATTCTTTGCCAAGTAGGCAATGTAATGAAATGCCAGTTTTCCGATCGGTACATAATAAGCCCCTACATACCCTACATAACATAAATAGTGAAAAATGGGTGTTACATTGTACAGTGGCATAATGTGCACCTCTGCCTACCCCTTCGGGGATAAAAGGCGTCATGTTATGTATGTTATGTATTCTACCTCAAGTCACAGGTGAAGATTGGTTGTGCGATTTCTTTCTCTCACTACAAACACTAGTTCCCCGGATCCTTTTGATGTATGGAAGATTTTGTGGCTATATCATAATCCATTTTACTGTGAAAGAAACAGGTCTTGAAATCAAACAAAGTTCATATGAAATATAGCTTTTAATCACTTTTAATAATGTATCTATTTACATTGGACTTAAAACTATAAAAACTGGATTTCTACAGTAAACATTGTAAAAATATTGTACCCACGCAGGTACAATTTACAAATAAAATCATATGAAATCAAAGCTACGCGGATTTTTCGACGGAAAAAAACAAAGAGTCACGGATGTGGCATTTGCTTTAGAAAAAAACGATAAAATATTTGATTTGTACAAAGGCCGTAGTTATGTGTACATTTTGCTAGTATTTTTATTCGATTTCGAGCCAAAATGTATTATATTTATACAGCTTATGAATTGAAAATACATTAATAAGTTTTTACAGTACATTTTATAATAGCACACTTTTCATATAAAACGCTAAAGGATACAACATTTCATGTAGAATACAACTTTGTCATGTACTTTTAAAACTTAATTAATAATTGTTTCTTCTTTGAAAATACTTGGAATTATCAACCATTTTGTCACAAGTTTAATATACAAAGATGTTATTTTATTATTTCACATTTTTGTCACTTCAGTTTCAAGAATCATAAACTGTTAAGTACGTAAAAGAAGGTAAGTTTCAAAAGTCTAAAAATGTTTAATGAAACAAAATTACCTTTACAATCAACTTCCAAGTAATTGTCCAACGAAGAAACGAAAGTAAAAATATACAATTAAAAAAATAAAATAAATAGACACATAAAAGTGGTATACAAAAATATGCACCAGTAAGTAAGCGAATCTTAAACTATAACATGATTTTTTATACCTAAAATAATCTAACACATGGTTTAAAAACTTTAGGAACTATTTCTCGCAATTAATCGGTAAAAAGATAAAACGTTTCATTGTAGAATTGGCTAAAATACGTAGAGATTTAGTCTAAAACAATAGTAAAATAAGGATCTGTGCATTATCATTTCATAGATTTCCAAATGAAATCTTGTCCGTTGCTGACGACAAAAACTCTACGCTAAATAAAAAAAAATAATCGAAAATTAAAAATGGTAGTTGCGATTTATTCTTTGTGAAAAAAAAACTACCGTTGGAATATAAAATAGTACAGTCACATTTGTGTTAAAGTTTACGAATCAAATTATATTAGGCTTAGATTCTGTTAGAAGCCAATCGATGTTCTGAATCTTAAGGTCATTAATCATATTGTCAGATTCAAAGTTGCCTAGTACATATTCATAGGTTAAAATCAAGACATTAAAATCAAATAATTGACGTAAAACTTGCTGCCTGCTTTGGTCTGCCGTGGAATTTCATTAATCCTAATTATTCGAAATTGAAAACTACGTAACTCATTGGATTTATTAGACATACTTACGGCCATACTCGGAGTCATTATCTTTTGTTCTTGAGTCCTTACTAATTTGTTTTCGGAAAAAATCGTAACTAAAGAGTGGATTAAGTAATTAATTAAAAATCGCGGGTTACTCACGTGAATATACTGAGAAAAGCTCTACTGGTTTCGAACCACAGGGGGTTCTTCCTCATGAGTAACGTGCGCGGTCGCGGTGATGTCGCGGCGGCTACTGACTGAAACTAGTAGAGCTTTTCTCTCAGTATTTTCACGTGAGTAAGTGATTTTTAGTTAGTATGTCTCTTTAGTATGTCTCACGATAGTTATTATAAGGTTAAGTAAAGATGTCTCTGTGTACGGCAGTTTTCTATTCATCAGTTACGTTTACATTTAGAGGTAAAAATGTTAGCGGAAACAGCCTCGGACTAAAAACTAAAATGTTGTTAACTTAGAATTTACGAAGTTAAATATTTTAGCGCAGAACGACCGATGTACGTTGATGTATGTTGCACGATTTATAAATGTAGTTCAAAAACTAAAAACAAAAATACTTTGTGACCTTATTTACGTTTCAAAGTGTTAATTGACGGTCCAGTTTCAAAATGTATTTCAATAGTACCTAGAATATTTGAGATTAAAGCAGATTTTTGACTTGTTATATCCTATTTGTAGATGAATTTTATAAAACAGAAACTGTTGAAATATTTAGTAAAAAATTGTATATTAAGTTCTCTTTTTTCTATAAAACGTTGCTGAAACAACTATTTGTGAATCACACAAAGAGTTGCTCTGTGCGGGAATCGAACCCACTTAATATTGCACGACAGTCGGTTGCCTAGCCACCGCACCAATCGTACAGGCGTATCGGTTTTCAGCATAAATTTTTATGTGAAACAGAACCACAGTGATAACATTGATACATGAAGATTAAAATAAAACAACAGAGAAAGTACTTAAACGCACTCCCAAACAAATGAAGTAAATATTTATAAACGTGCAATACACAAGGACGAAACATAGAACCAAACAAACAAACCGCTTATAGCAAGCTATTGACTTGATCAATAGAGGAAAAGCGAACTATTTGCTTCAGTCTTCCATATAAATATATGTGAGAATCCATTATCAATGTGTAGATGCCACGAAAGAATGCTTTAAGGAATGTCAAATAAAACTCGAATATATGAACGGTGCCAAGCAGATGATGGGATTACAATTTTGGAATGATATGAGCAAAGAATTTTCAAATTTAGCTTGTGTAGAAAGATATGAACATTTCAACTCCTTAATCTTTCCTTCTTTTCCGCATTTGAATAATATACGGCAGTGTCGACTGAATCTCAAACAAAGCGATGTGAAACAAAGCTAAAAATGACACCCAAAACTCAATTGAATAAATGATAACACAAACACGTCCACTTGAAACAGTTCATATACCACAAAAGCGTGTCAATTTAGAGTAATCAGTCTTGGATATTGATGAAACAATCGTCGCTACATAAAAGCCATTATTTACCATTCATGTCTTAATCAAAGAGTACCACATACAATAAATACTTAAATCAACAGTGAACGCGACGTCCAATTGCGTTACAATGATTATAATATTAAAATGGTCCATAAATTTTACGCGACAAGTAAAAAATCTAGCACAAATGTCTATTTACAGGAGCACCGCGGAAAATTAATCGTAATAATACGTCTTTTTCACTGATATCGTGACGTAGGTCTCTCCTCTCACTAAAAGCTCATTGGCACTTTGGTAAACCTTTAGTCTAAACTTATTACACTTCCGTACCATCCTCTCCTTCGTCCTCGAACAGCGGCTCGTTGGGGTTCACTTCTGTACTTGGCTTTTTCTTCGGCTTCGGCGGCGGTCGTGGTGGTATCTTACCACTCCTGCCCAGAGTCCCTGATTGGTTCATTACACTCTCGTTTTTCTTGCTCTCATCCTTTGACGGAGAACTAGGCTCCTCCTTACTATCTACTCTTGGAATTCTTCTTAAAGATCCAGTTTCAGGCTTTCCTCTTCGGCTCAGTGTACTGCTGTCTGACACTTGGGACTGTGCATCGCTTTTGTCACTGAATAATACTTTCCTAGGCTCAGGTTGTGGAGTGGAGGTGTTCTTAGCAGTCCAACTCATTCTTGGGTTCACTGGTTCCTGAGGGCCTGGAGTAGACAGTTGATGTGACAACTGAGAGCTGATACTGTTCCGGTTCACTTGTGGAGGTACTGGCGAAGGAGACGGCTCTTGTTCTTCAATAGGAGCGTAGTATACTGGATGTTGGTTAGGGTAGGCTATGGGAGTGGCCGGCAAGGGTCTGTTTCTCATTGGTGAGAATTGTGGTTCTAGGCCCGTTTTGTTTAATGATAGGACAGAGCTGCCATCTGCCGTGGTCCTTAGTCCTAGATTATCATACAACGGTTCTTGCGCTTCAGAGCTGGGCAGGATTTGTGTGCTCGCTGTGCTAGACCAGCTTGGCACTCTGGGCCTCCTCGGGATGGTGACGTATCCTTGCCTTGGGGTGACGACTGGAGGAGTTATGGGCGCTGTGAATGGCGACTGAGAACGAGAGTAGGGTAAAGTCCTGAATAGGTTTTGGTTAGTCATGCCATATATTGGTGAGTGTATAGGACTAATCGGGTTGAGTTGTGGTGGCAGCCTAGTGGTGTCTGGCACTGTAGAAGCATTGCTAGCCGCTGGTGATATTTGAGCTGCTCTGGGAGGGAAGGACAGTAGATCAGGTGGGTAGGCTCGACCGTCAGTGCGGCCATATTCTACGTTGAGAGCATCCTGCGATCGTTTCGATGGCGGGTCGAAGTCTAGCGAGCGTTTTTCATCATCGTTGTGAGCTGGAACAAAGAAAACTCTATTAATATCTAAAACAAAATAATACATACTTGATCTTCACATGAAAGATGGTTTTCTGAATTTTATTAAGATTCTCTCTAAAGGTGAATTTGTGACATCAGTTTTCTGCTGCTGCAAACTTAAGCGAGACACTAACCTTTAACTTTGAACCGATAAAGGGGTCGATAGTCTCTAAACCCACGGATATAGATAAAATTTTACTGATAACAGTATTAGTAAGTGTAAACAGTATGGTCCCAAATTATCAGAATATTGACAGAGCTATTGGAAACTTATTGGATATATATACCTCTATATAGAGTTATTACTAGATACGTTATTACAAATATCTTCTGCCTACATTTATAGATATTGGTATTGTCATATTACTCATTAAGTACAAACTGATATTCTGAAGTTTGTAATTGGAAATTCATAGTTTAATAAGTTATGTTGAAGGTTTTGAAAGGTCAACATAAGAATTTGGATAGAGACTATAGATAGATAGAGTGGGATGGATGTGGGTGCGATGGCATTTCAATCAAAATACTAATAAATATCCACTTACCAAACACAGAATCATTGTCCAGCAATGTTTTGTTTAGTTCAGACATTTCCGTCGCGCCGCTGGTGATCGATGGCGGCACATCGTATCTTCTCGGAGGCTTCGTCACTGGATTGACAGCAGTGATTAGGCTCTTCTCCATCTCGGGTATAACAGACCCTTCAATCAATGCTTCACCATTAGAATTCTCTGCTTTCTTCTTGTCTGAACCTCGTCGTCTAAAGCAGCAGCAGTAGCAGAGTATTACCAGGATTATCAGCACAATAGCTGCAGTACATGACACGCCAATGAGCACTGGCAGCATATTGTTATCCATACCTTGAGGAACTACTCCACTCTCAGGGAAACTCTGAGTCACAGCCAGCGTCAGACTTCGCTCTTCAACTCCACCAGCATTTTTTGCAACGCACAGGTAATCGCCATTGTCAGTGCTTCCTAAATCAACTATAGTTAAATTAACCCATTTAGAGTTATCGAGATTTCTCTCAGTGATGTAGTATTTGAGTTCTCCCTGGTATCTGTAAGTACCGTCTATGATTTGTGCATTCAAGACCCAGTTGACTTCTGGTAGCGGGTTGCCGTTGACCTGACAGGATAATGTGACGTTGGTATCTGATGTTCGTAGTGTTGTACTGACGGAAGGATATACGATGCTAGGTTTGCAAGCAAAGTCGCTGGAGTCCAGCTCTTTCCAAAGCTTTCCGTGAACTTTAGGAGGCTCTACACAAGAAATGGGAGAAGTGTAGAAGTTCTTACTAATTACCCAGTTTCTGAAGGGTTGTAAATAACAGTCACAACGCCAAGGGTTATCGTGAACATCTAAATTGGAAAGTGACGTCAGCGCACTCAATGTATCAATCTTCAGATACTCCAATTTGTTGCCGTCAAGTCTGAGAATGTTTAATTTGGGCACGTTCATGAATGTCTTCATTCCTATTTGTAGGATTTTGTTGTTACTCAATTCTACTTTCTGTAGGAACGGCAAATTATTGAAGAGTCCGTCTTCTAATTTCTCTATTTGATTGTCGTTCAGTAGGATCCATCTTATTTTAGCTGTTTCTTTGAAGGTGTCGGCATGTAAAGTTTTTAAGTCATTCTTGGATAGATCTAGTTCTATCATGATAGCAAGTCCGCTTAGTCCGTTTCTTTGTATTGTCAAGAGCTTACATTCTCTGAGGATGAGTTTCTTCAAGTTGATGAGACCTACATCATGGAATGCATGTCTTGTGATTTCGTAAAGTTCGTTGCCTGTAAGGTCGAGGTTTTGTATCTCTGCGCTTAAGTTTCTGGGTATATCGTTGAGGCGGGAGTGTGAGCAGTCGGCTTGTTTGTTGCCGCTTGCCCAAACACATTTGCACTCTTGTGGGCAGTTTGTTGTGAAGTCAGCGATCGCGGTGGCAAGAAAGAGGCTCAGAATCAACCAAACTTGCTTCGCCATTTTGGAATCTGGAACAAAGAGAGGAACATATTAATGTTGGAGGTAATAAACTGGAAGGAACACGCATCGTGGCTTTAATGTTCGCATTAAGAATGCAGTTACCATCGTTTTATGTATCAGGGGGTTTACAAACTCAATAATTTCGTGACGACCGCTGTACCCGTCGGGTTTGGATTAGAGCTTCGTGAATTATTTAATAGATTCGTACCAGCTGTTATAATCCGCGGCGCTTGATTTGATGCGTTTTAGTTTAACAATTTCTTCTGATGAAGGTTTTAGGGGTTTGAAAATGAAAATACAGCTTAGACATGTTACTATTTTAGTGCAAATGTTTGTCTTGTGTTTTGAAGGATTTAGTTTACTATGCACGATGTTGGAAGTAAGGTTATCTAAGCTAAAATGACGCAATCTGACCATTTTGCGTACGAAATAAAGGTTTGTTATTGTTATGGACATGTGAAAATTATTTTTAATTGCCGTTTTTATTATTTTTCTCATATCATTCTAACAAGGGCTCGTGTTAAAGTCAAAAAAAGAATTAGTCTCCAGAGAAGCTGCGGTTACAGTGAAACAAAATAATGACCTTTCAACGTTAACGATATGATGACAATTTGTATAATTTCATGTCATATCAAAACATCTGAATTCATATTGAGGCAATATTCCTAAGGGCAGGTTAGCAAATTAGCCAAATCATGGTAATTTACGCGTACTTTCATTCTCTTTTCCATTTACTATAATTAGAGAAGAAGATTTGTTATGTTATAAGACCTAAGTGATGAAACAGCTGTATTGATCGTTTCATAATAGACCTATTGTTTTGCCTATCCTGTTTTTGGAACCTAAGACCCATAAGCTCAAGACAAATAGATCAAGAACCCAGTCGTTCATTCTAACAGCAGTAACATAGACCATTAATTTTTTCTAGAGGTAGAAGCTACACAGTACTTTAAATGACAAATAATTTGAAATACGACAGAAAAGGTCACCATTCACTGGAACAAAATGGACTCGCAAATTTTATAAAATAAAACGTAATATTTGGTCGAAATGTAAAGATTTATGACTAAATGAGTCTTTGTGAGATTTATATCTGGCATTTCTCGTTAGTGTGACAATTTCAAGTCGCGGTAATTACTCCCAGCGAGAGTAAGGGTGCGTATAAAGTGCGAGCAATTTCGACGTAAGTGCGTTCCGCAGTGTGATCTGTACCTTATGTTTCTTTATGGTGTTTGGTACAAATTATAAGCACGAAAGAGTAACGCCTCCTAAGAAGTAATTAATTATAGTTTTTAAGACATGTTTTCATTTAAAATGATGGCCTTGAGTGTACACAATTATACAGTGTTTATCATGTTACTGGCTACCTACAAGCTTCTTTGGAACAAACCCGTTGTTTTTACTGGATATTAGAGGTATAATGTCATCCTTAAATCATTATTACATGTGGCACAATAAACTGAGTTATCTAAACAATTCCACAAAAAAAAACTAATATTATAATTCCAAATGAGAAATCTATAATAATAGCACTAAAATGAGAAATTGTTTTGCATTTTACCACTTTACCACTGTTTTCTAATGATAACAACTACATTTTGCCATTAGACAAAAAATCAAAATCGTTCTTCTCTTACAACTTGGCCCAAATAAAACAACATAGCGTAATGCTCCTGAATGTTCTTAGTACCGTGAACTGACATCTCTTTCTTATTCCCCCTCTGCTCTGCGACGATCACTTGCAATTTATATGCGTGAAGATGCGTAAGGCAACGCTAATGAATTTCTAAAGAAAAAGCCTTTCAGAGTTGAGTGAACACTTTCTAATTGTTAAATGATAGCTGTTCTTAGGTTATATTTTCGTAATTTTGAAACGAAAGGCCTAACTAACCTTTCGTTTCAAAATTACGAAAATATAATATATATAAAATATAATAATAAAATATAAAATATATTGTAAGAATTGCTTTCAACTAAGAGTAAGGTTTCATTTGGAATAATTATTTTGGGTAGAGGAAAGGGATGTATTATGTGATCTCAATTCAAAGAATTTCATAAATAAAAGTCAATGGCTAATAAGGATCACCTAACTTCATGTTCTAAAGTAGTTTCTTGTTGTTTGTTTGTTGAACTGATTGCTTCGCTGCATTTTCGTGGAATAAATAGTAGCCTACGTGTTATTACAGACCATGATCTACCAGTGTTCCAAATATCATCCCGATCCGTTCAGCCGTTTTGACGTGATTGAGGGACAAACACACAAACAAAACTTTTGCATTTATATTAATGTTGCTGTTTCCTTCATAAACGTAGCAACACTTTTGTAATTTAATTCTGCTTTTCCACGTGTTCCTCATAATTGGCGTAATGAATCAGATCTCTGTTTTGGTTGGTACCATTTAAACTGTCAAACACCAAGCGGTCACCGGTGACCGCAACCTATTGTTCTATAATTGTGTCTACAAAACCGGTACTCGACGAGTTAATTTTGTAAGCTGTAAAGAACCTATCGTTAAATAAAAAAATATATGTATATTAGTGAGACAATAGTTTAGAACCCTTAGTGCAGCGGAATCACTTGTCCTATAATAATAGTTAAAGATACAAAACCTAATAATTACGACGATGAAGACGAATTTCTAGACACAAATACTTACAAAACACACAAACATACAATTGAGCAATTTTAATTATGTTCAATGGCCGCCATGATACCGTACCATGCGCTGAACACTAACGAGTTAAAATTGATTCATTTAACATGCACTTGTTTAATAGGGGGGACCGGCAGACAGGGGAATTGTGTGGATAAGACTTATAGAGGTAGACGTTACCATAATGTGAGTCATAGGGAAATACTGGTCGCAAGGATAAAACTGGAGACAGAACAGAAACAATTTAACTTTTCTTCTTGTAGATTTTTTTAAGAATTGGATATGTACTTGAAAACTAGTTAAATTCAATACTTTTTTCGAACTGTCAAAAACGACACAGATCTCTAAGAATTTTGTATGAGACTATGTATTGTGACGTCACGTTCTTTTAGCGTCAAACTGCATACTTATTTATTAAAAAATTGCTGGAGAAATACTAAAATTTAGTTGGTCATAAAATCAAATAATGAAAGTGTGATTATTTTTTAATGTTTAATTGTATTAAACAGTCGAAATAATTTATTTTTGATTAAGGAAAGTAACCAATTTTCTGTAATGATTAGACCTGAAACTGCGATCTCAAACCTGACTAGAGATTATGGCGAATCTTTCTCATATGGAGAAGGCATATGGGCTTTCTACATGAACAGTACATTATCACAGACTGTGAATGTTGATAATTTTACTGCACGGTTGGCCGGCAACTGGCTGTCGTGCAACGTGTAGCGGGTTCGATTCCCGCACGGAACAACTATTTGTGTGATCCACAAATTGTTGTTTCGGGTCTAGGTGTGATGTGTATGTGAAATTGTATGTTTGTAAACGCGCCCACGATACAAAAGAAATTTCTAGCGTGGGTCTACGTTTTTTTAATTCCATATACCGTAAGAGTAATGGACGTCGATTTCTTTCAAATTCTTTAGTGTTTCTCCCTTTGGGAACGTAAAAATAAAATAAAAAATAAACAAACCATTTTCCTTTGGGCAAAAAAAGCCGCAGCTACTACTGAAGTTAGAACTTAGTCTTATCCACACAACGCCAACATGAATACCTAACCCGTAAATAACTGGTATGGGTCAATAAAAGCGTAACCCCGGTACAACAGGCCCTCATTGACGGCACTGTGCATTGTAGGGTTACCACACATGAGCTCTTTGTACCCGTATACTTCTTACATTGAACTTTATAGTATAAAGACTATTCATAATATGATCGTGGTTATTTAAGCTATTTGCTCGTTCCAAAGTGTAGATTTCTATGGAGAAGAACGAGCAAGAAACTCCATAGGTTTTTTCTTTAGTCTTTTTCAATCAGGTTCACAATACAATTCTTAGTTACATTATTTTGTTGATTCACATAACATCACGCCTATTATCCCCGAAGGGGTAGGCAGAGGTGCACACAGAAGAAACACCCACTTCCAATATTTATATTATAAATCGCATGTAATAGGGGGTGTGGATATTGCCATATACTGGGCACAATTCCAGGCTCCGGTGCTACCACTGAGATTTTTTAAAAACACAGTAATACTTTGCCCGATCCGGGAATCGAACCCGAGACCCCTTGCCTGGCACTCGCACTTGCGACCACTCAGCCAACGAGGCAGACAGTTTGTTGATTCAATTATGTGAAATGAGTTGGTGTCTTGTCATAATTCCCACTATTGACATACGGCTTAGAGATCGTAGATAGTTCTCCGAAAAATTAGAGTTCAGAGATCAGTTTCTAGTTGACTGGTCACAACTTTCGCAAAATTTCGGAATCAATGCTAATTACTAAGAATTAATGATGTTATAACAGAGACAATCATTTGTTTCTGTATATATATACTTATATAGTCTTGTATTATATGCCACATAGCTATTAACAGAATTATTAATAGGTGTACAGTTGACCGTAAAGGACTATTGAGCCCAATTAATTGGCTTAGTGGTCTTCTGAGAATTTGCAGTTGCATGTAGAGGTATATACGACTGCCTATCAAGCTATACAAAACCAGTTTATCAAGGTCTCGGTATATATAATATGAAAGCACATTCGACGGTCAGTTTATAATGGTTTTACGATAGTTTGTACACACAGAACACAGTTGCCTGTGTAATAATATCATAAATTCATACAGTCATAGAATACCTTGTTTTGTCTAATTGGGCGTGTCCAATGTTAATACCTATATAAACCTACGTCTCATCTTTTTATATATCGTTGATATCTTTTTTATGGATTTTTTTGAAGGGGGGAAAATCATCAAATCACTACTCCCGCCTGGCTGAGGTGGGAGGGAGTGTCAGACTCTTACTGACTAAAAACCACCCCGTTCCTTCTGCTGCACGTCGAGCCGGAGCCCCGGT